TCTAAGTAAATGTAGTTTTATACTATTGGGTTGTTCAGTGGTACAGGTATAGTGCTTGCTTACCAAATGCAAAGACCCCAGGACCAAACCCTATTATTGTAAATAATAATAATGATGGTGGTAATGGCAATAACAATAAATACCTTTTAAAAATTAAAAACTTAAGTCGGGCGCTGGTGGCCTGTAATCCTAGCTAGTCAGGAGGCTGAGACCTGATAATTGCGGTTCAAAGCCAGCCCGGGCAGGAAAGTCTGTGAGATTCTTATCTCCAATAAACCACTAGAGAACCGGAAGTGGCGCTGTGGCTCAAGTGGTAGAGTGTTCACTTTGAGCTGAAGAGCGCAGGGACAGCGCCAGGCCCAGAGTTCAAGCCCCATGACCGACAGGGGAAAAAAAAACAATAACAAAAACATTATATCTAATGACTATTTTACCTGTGATTTCTTATTTGTGTATTTATGCAACTTTTTGTAGATGGCAGTTTTTGACTGTTCTCTTTACATTTCTGCAGAAAAAAATTCTAAAACATTTTCAGAGCTGGGCAACAGAAGATGAGATCAGTTCAGAGCCAGTTTGAGCAGAGACTCTTATCTCTAATGAACAATTTTAAAAAAAGCAATAAGTAGAGATGTGGCTAAAGTGGTAAAACACCAGTTATAAGCACAAAAAAAGAAACAAATATAAGACAAAAACAGAAACCAAAAAAACAAAGGAGGACACCTAGAGCCTTAGCTCAAGTTACTGGCACCAAAAGAAAAAAAAATCCTCATGATAATATTAATTTGTTTGAAAGAAAAGCATATATATTAATACAGAAGAAAATTTATACATTCAATTCCCTTCAAATTCTGTATAATGAATTCAAAAAACCAGTCACATTATTGATAAATTAATTACCATTTAAAAATTTTGCTAGAAAATATTTCTTCTTTTTTTTTTTTTTTTGCTGGTTGTGGGGCTTGAACTCTGGGCTTGGGCACTATTCCTCAGCGCTTCAGCTCAAAGTGATCAGCGCTTCAGCTCAAAGCAAATGCTCTACCACTGAGCCACAGCGCCACTTCCAGTTTTATAGTGGTTTATTGGAGATAAGAGTCTCATGGACTTTCCTACCTGAACTGGCTTTGAACTGTGATCCTCAGATCTCAGCCTCCTAAGTAGCTAGGATTACATGGGTGGCATGCACTACCTATACCCGGCTTATATTTCCTCTTTATCTTCAAATTTCTACTAACATGCAATAGCATCTATGTATTTTTTTAATAAATTCTCTAAACTGTAATTTCCCTAATTCTGTATAACCTTGGGAAACCTAGTTTTCAACATGAATGCTGCCTTTAACTTTAAGTAAGCTATAAGAAATATCTACTTAGACAATCAGGCCCAGGTAGCTTACATCTACAATCTTAGCTACTTGGGAAGCTAAGGTCTGAGGATTGTAGTTGGAAGCCAGTCCAGGCAGTAAAGTCCACTAGGACTAAATAACCACCGAAATTCTAAAAATGGCTTTAATAGTAGAGGGCTAATCTTGAGCACAAAAGTTCAATAATAACATCCAGGCCATGAACTCAAGCCCCAGGACTGGCAGCAACAACAACAACAAAGATTTACTATTTTTACTAATTTGCCCCAATGATATTACTAAAGACTCTGAGATTCTTTATCCAGCAAAAACCAGAAGTAGAGCCATGACTCATAGAATGCTAGTGTTAAGCCCAAAAGTTCAGGGATAGTACCCAGAATTCAAGCTCTGGGACCAGGACAAAGAGTGAAAAAAATTCAACTCCCCATTACCTATATAATTAATGTTAACACTTTGGAGATCTATGCATATAGGTAAAAGCTGTGAAATTAGGGATTAGAGACATGGCTCAGTTGTTAACAGGGTTGCTAATGCATGGAACAGGCATGTGTACTTAAAACATTTCAATACAGGCAACAACACATTAAAGACTAAATATATCTATATATTGCTGGGAGCTGGTTGCTCTCGCCTGTAATCTCAGGAGGCTGAGATCTGAGGATCACAGTTAAAAAGCCAGAGCAGGCAGGAAAGTCTGTGAGACTCTTATCTCCAATTAACCACCAGAAAAACAGAAGTGACAGTGTGGCTCAAGTGGTAGTGCCATGAGCTGACAAGCTGAAGGACAGTGCCCACGCCCAGAGTTCAAGCCCCATGATCAACAGAAAGAAAAAAAGAAAGAAAATATACATATACACATTCTCTTTAGTTTATATATATATATGGTAATGTTATATCTGCATTTTGAAAAATATATATAATACAACAGTAAACAGAACAGTATAGTTATTTCTTTAAGAGACTGACAGAATTTCTTTGAGATCTACACCAAGAACTGAAATTACTGAATCATGTGATCATACTGGAATTTGAATGTGAGCCACTCCACTAGCCCTTTTATTTTTGAGATAAGGTCTTGCTTCATGCTTGAGCCAGGTCTAGACCAAAATTCTCCTATTTGTGCTTATCCATATGGCTGACGACATGCACCACTGTGCCCAGCTAGTATGATTCCCCCCTAGCTGGAGTGAGAGATTTGTTACCAAACTAACCCACTAGAGTATTGTCAACTTTTTGCTTTGACTGGCTTTGTACATGAGACCAGCAAAAAGGCATGTATGCATGTATGCATTGCTCAAGTGATAGGTGCTAGCCATGAGCAAAAAAATCTAAGAGAAGGCCCCTAGGTCCTGAGTTCAGATGGTAGTACTCTCTCTCTCTCTCTCTCTCTCTCACACACACACACACACACACACACATATATACGTGGTTCTTTTTTTTTGGGGGGGGGGGGGGGAGGGTTTGAACTCTGGGCCTGGGCCCTGTCCCTGAGCTCTTCAGCTCAAGGCGAGTGCTCAACCCCTTGAGCCATAGCACTACTTCTAGTTTTCAGGTGGTTAATTGTAGATAAGAGTCTCACAGACTTTCCTTGCCCAGACTGGCTTTCAATCACAATCCTCAGATCTCAGCCTCTGAGTAGCTAGGATTACAGGTGTGAGCCACCAGTACCCCTCTCCCCGCCCCCAACACACACACACACAGCTCAAAATCTAATGCTTAACTCTTCACTAATTAAGACAATCAATTTTACTTCATAATGATAATTAATTTTCCCCAACAGTATTAATTAGTAATGTTCTTTTCCTATTGCATAAAATCAATTAATCATACAATAAGCAAATTCATGGCTCAGTCTTATATTCTGATCCATGGGTTTATGTGCACTGTTACATGAAAGTACTTTTCCATCTTATTATACTTTTGTGATCAGTTTTATGTGTGTGCACACAGTTTTAACATGCACATCTGCATGCAGGTACTGGGGACTAAGTGCTGTCCCTAAGCTTTTTTGTTCCAATGGCTCTACCAGTTGAGCCACAGCTCCATTTCTGGTTTTCTGGTGTTTACTTGGAGATAAAACACAGCTGGCTTCAAATCACAGATCTCAGATCTCAGCCTCCTCAGTAGCTAGGACTACAGATGTGCAGCACCAACACACAGCTTGTAATAGACTTCTAAAACAGGAAATGTGATCTTACCAGCTCTGTTCTTGCTCAAGATAACTTTACTCAGAATATATCCATCTCTGTATGTTTATGTTTTGCAAAATGCTTCTGAATCTAGTCTTAGATTATGAAATATAGGTATATTTTGAATTTCTCAACCTTAACATAGGATATTTTACCATTTACTTGTAAATTTCAATTTCTTTCTTTTTTTCTGCTAGTTGTGGTGCTTGAACTCTAGGCCTGGGTGCTGTCCCTGAGCTCTTCAGCTCAAGGAAAGTGCTCCACCACTTGAGCCACAGCACCATTTCTAGTTTTCTGGTTGTTTGTTGGAGATAAAAGAGTTTCACAGGCTTTTCTGCACAAGCTGGCTTTGAATTCAGAATTCAGCCTCCTGAGTAGCTACTATTGAGCTAAGTTATTAAGGTACATTTATAAACATTAAATAAAAATCTCCAATTTCTTCATGTGTTCTAATTTTTTTTTTTTTTTTTGGTCAGTCATGGAGCTTGACTCTGGGTCTGGGCACTGTCCCTCAGCTCTTTAGCTCAAGGCTAGAACCCTACCATTTAAGCTACAATGCCACTTCTGGTTTTCTGGTGGTTTATTGAAGATAAGAGTCTCACAGACTTTCCTGCCAGTGCTGGCTTTGAAATGAGATCCTCAGATCACAGCCTCCTGAGTAGCTAGGATTACAGATGTGAGCCACCAGCAGCTGGTCTAATTTTATCAGTAAACAAAAACTTTAAATTTCTTAAGAGTTAAATGTTATATCTGAGAATAAAATATGTAAAATAAATAAAATTGTCTTACATGTTCATTTCATTTAAAACATCAAGCTTTCTGGCATATTTTACGTTCTCTAGGGCAAAATGCAGATTTCTATCATATGCTACTATTAAGACTCAGATATGAAGCGTCCTCTAACATTATGTGTTAACGATTGTGCACAATGGTATTATGAAAAAATGATTGGGTTGCAAATGTACTAACTTTAGCATGATGAAATAGATTGATGATTAAATGGAATAATGAGTTAATCTATTGAACAGTCAATAGCAGAGAAAACTATTTGTATAGGCCTAGTTAAGAGAAAGTGCACCAGGGGGACCATATCTCTGAAAGATACATTTTATGCCTGGATCATATTCTTTCTCTCCCTCTCTCTTTCCTTCTTTCTCATTCTCACTCATTCCCCCCCCCCTCCTTCTAGTCTCCCTTTACTCCCTTCTCTCTCTTTCTTACTTCCTTGCTTCTTTGCTTCCTAGCAAACAAAAAGTTAAGTAGCTTCTCTCAACCGTGAGCTCCTTTCCAGCACTAGTTCCTTCCCAGTTCTTTGCAAACCGCAAGGATCAGGACACCATAGAACAATTTTAATTCTTCTAAGTTTTTTTTTTTTTAAGGTATTTTGACACAGTGACCAAAACAAAACAAACACAGTTGTTTTTAAGAAAAGGATAAATTAAAATACTTACCTGAGTTTCATACAAGTGAGCAATATGAAATTGAACTGTAATGGGTCATGAAAAAAAAAGAATCAATTTCAATAGCCAAAAAAGAATCAATTTTAATAGCCAAGTTTAAAATAAAACAGCAAAATTGAGCATGCGAATATTCTACATCTATAGAATATAATTTGATTTATGTATAAAATGTATTTTAATAAAATAATATGTAAATAATACTAGCAAAATTCATGAGCCTAGTAACAAAATCATTATTAGTAATTAAGTAAATTTAAACTACGTAATTATATTAATTCCAATAAGCATGAAGAAACCTTTAAATTTTATACCTTTTCATTTTTTTCAGATATTGAAGATTTGAAATCAGTTCCTTATGCTTCCTAGGCAGGCACTCTACTACTGAGCCATGTTTCTATTCCTAAAATTATTTATCTTGACAAGTACTATATTTTACCTTATAAAAAGTTACTAAATAATACATGCTTTTGATTAGTCTGTCCTACATATGAAATACTATATAGACATTTCTAAAAATACAGAGAACAGAATTACTAGGTAAATTAATTAAAGAAAGAAAAAATGAAGTTGAACACTGCTGGCTCACACTTGTGATTACAAGTGATTACTATAAGCATAAACAATATTCAGCTTTATTTCAAAATATTATTTTTAGATTTCAGACTACAAAAACTATCCAAAACATAATCATATAATGTTGTCACATTATCACTTGACGTTTTTTCAAAATTGTTGATTACAGCAATTTATTATAAATAGCTCCAAAGCTATGTGGTTTTGAAAGCCATAATCACATGTAATCACTAACGAGGAGGCTGAGAACTGAGGATCATGGTTTGAAGCAATCCTGGGTAGTGAAGTCCAATTTACTACCCAAAAAGCCAGCTGTAGTTCAGAGGTAGGGCCCTGGCCTTGAGCAAAAAGCCTCAGGACAATGCCTATGCCCTAAGTTCAAGCCTCAGTACCAACACACACACACATACACACACACACAGTGTCAACCTTAAAAGTTGATATTATAAAGCATACATAAAAATTCTACACACAATTTTCTGGCATTCACTTATAGGTCTTTTTTTTTTTTTGGTTGGTCATGGGCCTTGAACTCTGGGCCTGAGCTCTGTCCCTAAGCTTTACAGCTTAAGGCAAGTGACCTACCACTTTAGCTACAGCACCACTTCCTGTTTTCTGGTAGTTTATTGGAGATAGGCTAGCTTTGAACCAAGATCCTCAGATTTCAGCCTCTTGAGTAGCTTGGATGAACCACCGGTGCCTGAAGACTTATAGATCTTTTTAATGCCCAATTTCCTTATGCCAGAATATGAACAACTCACTAATAATAACAGTGATCAACACACTAAACCCCCCAAAAAATTACAAATATTATGTAAGTCTGATTTTCTTATTTTTATTTAACTATGGCAATATTATTTTTATTTTTAGGGTCTTCTATTTATTAGAATCTGTCAAACTTTATATGCCAAGTATCTATCTGTCTTCCTCTTTCTATCTTTTCCCAATTTTGGTTTTAGTACTCAGTACTGAACTTGTCTTCTTGCTAAACAGGTACTTTTTCACTTTCACTGTAACTTCAGCCCCTAAATTGTACATACATTAATAATTCTTTGTCTACAAAGTTTAAGAGATTTTCTTCTCCATTTATTTTATTTTATTTTTTGCCGGCCGTACAGCCTGATCTCTGGGCCTGGGTGCTTGTCCCTGAGCTTTTCAGCTCAAGGCTAGCACTCTACCACTTGAGCCACAGCACCACTTCTGGCTTTTTCTGCTTATAATGATACTGAAGAATCGAACCCAGGAGACCTCATGCATGCAAGGCAAGCACTCTACCATTGAGCCATCTTCCCAGTCCCTCCATTAATTTATTTTTTTTTTCATTTTAAAAAAAGAGAAAATTTAATTGGTATTTCTTTTGTTTATTCCAACTCATAAACTCTCCCTTCTTCTGGTTGACTTGTTTTCAAATAAAGCCATATAAATAGAAAAAGTGATACTTTTCTATTATACTACCATTTTCATCAATAATTTCTTTCGTTAATTTATTTTTTTACCATATTCTTCCTTACTATTTCAAATCGACTTAATAAAATTTTTACCTTATTTTATTACTGGAGAAAAACTGGATTCTAGCTTTATGAAAGTAAAATGACAAAACCTAGACCCCAAATTCTTCCTATTTTTAGTAATCTAATAAAGGGGAAAAAATCAGTAGTAAATGACATCTTCATGTCACCTGAATTTACATCAGATTTAAGTTTTATGTTCCATAAAACTCATGTTCCATTACTCTGGCCATATCAATCCATATGCTACTTACATCTTTCACAAAATAAGCTTCCCATAGTTCTTAAATTTAATTTAAAAGGGTAGCTAACTTCATATAACAACAAAAAAAAAATGTCCAACATGGCAATGAAATTAACAACTATAAAGGATATTAAGCTTTATTGCAATGTTTTTATATTTCAGATTTTAAAAAACTATTCAGAACATAATCATAATGCTGTTACATTATCACTTCAAAACTGTTGGTTATAGTCATTTATTATAAATAGCTCCAAAGTTGTGTGCTTTTGAAAGATGTAAGGTAAGAATAAGGCTTATGAATAACTAAAAACTGTATTTTACTCAGATTTTAACATTTGCTTTGTGATTTTTACAATATCACAAGAACTTTCAAAGATAGTAAAAGCACATGAAATGTGTAAATTGTAAGACATTAAAAGAGAAATTACTTTTTCGATTTAAAAAAGATTCAACTGGAAATAATCTTGTAAAATTCCTGAAAGAAATCAGGAAATCATCATCAGTGCTGTGAGTAAAAATAAATTTTGTCATCTAAAACATCTAAGGTCTGATTTTCTTCTTTCTCTTTTATTGAAGTAGTGAGTAATTCAGTACTTTTTAAAAAGAAAATTAACTGAATAAATATGTTTTACACTTTCTGAGTCAAGAATGTATCTTCCTGCTTTTCTTTTCAGCTAGTCACAGAAACAAAGTTGTAGTAACCATAAATGTATTCATGATAATAATTTGAAAAAACAAAAACAAGTGTTATACTTAAAATACTTACTTTCAACACTGGACAAAGTACAGGGGTTACAGTCTATCAAAGCTAACCGAAAATGCTGCAAATGCAAAGTAAAAATATTGTGTTAAATTAGAGGTACATGAATTTTTTCCATGATGTTGAAGTCTACAAGAGCATAATGAAACTTGGATATAACTAAAATGTTTTATTAACTGAAACAAAGTTACTATCATTCATAACTTATTGCTGAATAAGTTATTATATTTGAAGTGCCATTTACTAATATTTTAACTTGAAGAGAATATTAACATTTATACGGACAGGGGCTTCAATTTATTTTTTTGAAATTCTCATATGTTGAACTGATACTCTTTGTTAGAACTTGTTAAAAATAATTTTTAAAAAATCTAAAGAACACAATTGTGTTTTATTACATCAAAGATTATCATAAAATTAGACATGATTTTGGAAGCCAAATTTTGTTTTTTCCTCAACTTCAAAAAATTGGTTATAGATACTCTTCATAATTCTCCACTGTAGAAACCAAATTTCATAATACTGTAATAATTAATAGGACTGAGAAGGCTTAATGTTAGGGTGCTTGCCTAGAATAAGTCTCTGGATTCAATGCCTTGTTAAACCAAAAATGATTAAAATCAATAAAATTAGAAAAAATAACCACTAAATTTTTAAAAAGAATGTTTCATAACACTGAGAGTGCATCTTGAAATTCATAAGTGAAATATCATGCACCAAATCAATGTGGTGATATATTCCTGTAACTACACCTGTCTGGGAGATAAGGCAAGGAGATAATGATCCACATCTAGGGCTGATACCAGGCAAAAACCAAAGACTCTTCCAAAAAAATAATCTTTTGACAGGTTTTTATACTGTGACTCAAGTGATAGTGACCAGAGTTCGAATCCCAGTACAGCATACACATCCTAAGACACTTGCTTTATAATTTTATTTAATAATCAGTTGTGATACTGTAATAATCAATTGTGATATTATAAAAGGTCAATCAAGTTGAAAATCACATACATTGTCAATGCACATATTTTAAGTTCTGTTAGATAGACTGATATTTAATGTTTAGGAGGAAAAGTGATATATGTAGGTATTCCTAATCAAATTTTCTTGGTTAAGAGTCTTAATAGCTTTAAGTACAAAATCAGTGTGAACATTGAGTACATATCTATGTTAACCAACTAGTATACTCACACTATGAACAAAATTTAATATTTTCTATTTGATATGGCATAACAATGGTAATAAATAAACAGTACCGCTGGAAATTTTCGTGTAAATAACGTACATAGGCTTTTTATTTACATTTATAATTTAAGCTAGCATTTTCAGTAAATGATGCTTGAAAACCACTCTCTGTAGGAAAAATTAAGTTGAGCACTATCACAATATTTATGCAAAAAGTTAACACAATATTATATCCAAAAGTTAACTCAACGCTGCTGAAAGTTGATTTTGCTATTTCATTTCTGTTATTTTTCTTTTGTTAAGATACCATAGAAATCCATCTTCTAATAAACTCTCCATCAATGTACTCAGAGTTCTTTATATCATGGGCAATGTACAAAATTCATTCGCTTTTCTTTGTAAATAAATGTTCTTTTGCCAATATAACTTGTGGGGTTTCAGATGAGGGATAAATTCTTTCTTATACTCAAAAAACAAAGCTAGAAGTAGAGCATTAACTTATCAAATGTCCTAAATTCAAATTCCCTCCACTACCCTACTTACAATATTCTAGGACAGTGCAAATAGAAAGCTTAAAAAACTAAATTCTGAAGCCTATTTCAGATATTAATATTATAACAGTTATAAATATATTAGATTAGGAATAAATTGACAGGTGCTTATGGTATATGAGCTGATGAGGTACATTATTTTTACTAAAACCTGAAAACATACAGCTAATAAGAAAAGCAAAACCAGACTAAGAAAAAAGAATGTGGGCTGGGAAGTTGGCTTAGTGTTAGAGCGCTTGCCTTGCATGCCTGAGGCCCTGGGTTCGATTCCTTAGCATCACATAAGAAAAAAGCCGGAAGTGGCACTGTGGCTCAAGTGGTAGAGCACTAGCCTTGAGCTGAAGAGCTGAGAGACAGCACCCAGGCCCAGAGTTCAGGCCCCACAATCAGACCCCCCCCCCAAAAAAAAGAAAAAAGAATGTATTAACTCAACAAAAATCACCTGTACCTCTCAGACTTTATATTATTATTTTTTTTTGGGGGGGGGGGGGGGGTGTCCGGTCGTGGGGCCTGAACTCTGGGCCTGAGCACTGTCCCTCAGCTCTTCAGCTCAAGGCTAGCGTTCTACCGCCTGAGCCACAGCGTCACTTCCGGCTTTTTTCTTTTTGTTTATGTGGTGCTGAGGAATTGAACCCAGGGCCTCAGGCATGCAAGGCAAGTGCTCTACACTGAGCCACCTTCCCAGCCCCAGACTTTATATTATTTTTTCAAGTGTAACAAATCTTAAAATTATAAATATTTTTCCTAAATGAGTCATCAATGAAGCAACATCTTGTATGTATATAAGTGTGCATGTGTATGTTGCAATACCAGAGCTTTAATGCAGCACCGTAGACTTTTAACTCCCAATTTCTTGCTCAGTGCTAGTACTCTATACCACTTGAGTCACACCTCCAATCCAGAGTTTTTCTGGTTAGTTGGTGATAATAGTTTCCAAGTCTTTTCTGTGTCAGCTGGCCTCAAACTTCAATGTCAGAAGGTTTTAGCCCCTTGAGAAGCTAGAATACAAGAACCAGCTACAGAATTCCAGCTTCCCAGGACAGGCTGACAAGAGTTAATATGGTTACTACAGTAATTTTTTATAATAAATTGGTAACTTAAAATTGAAGTAATGTTAATTTATCATTCTGAAAATCCTATGGTTATTAAAATTACATTAAATTTATTTTGTGTGCTATAAATGAAAAGACAAGCCAGGTAAAGTCCAACAAATTGGCTTGTCCCTGTAATCCTAACTATTTAAGAGACTGAAATCTGAGGATCTTGGTTCAAAAACAACTCAAGCAGGTGGCTCAGTGATAGAGTGCTTGCCTTCTATGTATAAGGCCCTGGGTTCAATTCCCCAGCACCAAATAAGCAGAAAAGGCTGGACGTAGTACTGTGGCCCAAGAGGTAAAGCGCTAGCCTTGAGCTGAAGAGCTGAGGGACAGTGCCAAGGCCAGAGTTCAGACCCCACGACCAACAGCAGCAACAACAACAAAAACAACAACAACCAACTCAAGCAGGAAAATTTGTGAGATTCTCACCTCCAATTAACCACCAAAAAGATTGGAAGTAAGGCTGAGGTAAAGTGGAAGAATACTAGCTTTGAGCAAAAAAGATAAATGACAGTGCCCAGGCTATGTATACAAGCTCTGGTACAGTTACTCACGTATAAACAGCTTAATAAGAATGTATCTGTTTTGTGGTATCATACTAGAATACTACATACTTGTTAACAACAAAAAGAAATATACTCAATTCATAGTTCTAGAGTCTAGTATTTCAATGATTGAGAGGATGCACTGATGTGTGTCTTCTTCACACATCAAAACCTGATGGAAGTCATTACATACCTAGAATTTAAACCTATAATATTGAGGCTTATATTCTGCATTAATCCTTTCATGAAGATGAAATGAAAACAACATACCACACATATCGTACTAACACTACTACACTTAAGATTATATTTTCACATATTTTTTGAGGAACATATTCAAGCCATAGCAGCAGTCTATGGAGTAGTAAATATAGTGAGCTAATATCTCACTTTAAAAAAACACTTTTTTTTCTTTCATGTAACACTGGTATAAAATCTAACTATATTCTAAAGTGAACTCTCAGTAAAGTGTCTACACCAGATTAGTAATGTCAAACTGCATTATCTATCAAACACAATTAGCTACAGATTGCAAAATTACAATTTGTTACATATTTGTACTTAGATTTTTAAATAAAAATTTGTTCTGAATTCATAGTTCCAATAACAGTAAAACATTCTGGAAAAACCACAAAGATTACAAGGCTTGCTGCAGAATATAAATCAAAGAATTCAATATAAAGACTAAACTTTAGGCTCCACTGGATCATACCTATAAGCTACTTATAACCATCCCTTGATCAAAAGGAATAAAGAAAATATGGGGTGTATACAAAATAGACCTATATTTAACCATAAACAAGAATAAAATGCTACCATTTCCAGCAAAATGGATTAATTATGGAAAATTTAATGAAATGAACTCGACACAAGAATACTAGTATCATACTTCCTTTCTTGCATATGTATAAGCCATAAAGAGTTAACCTGCAAGTTGAAAAGTGATTTGTAGAGACTAAGAAAGATGGAGGATAGAGGTACAAGGTGCATGACTTTGTTCAACATACAAATACCACATTGATCCATGTTGATATATATAATGGGTTAATAATATTTATATAAAATAAAAAGCCTAAATGATAATGTTAATTTTGCTCTAACACGTTTTCTGCAGCTAGAAGTCAAGAGTTATCTAAAGAAACACATTCAAAATCTAACTGACAGTCAAAGATTAAAACATCATCATGAATTTCTCTTCTCAATGATGGTTGAAATTAATGTTGATGCTAAAATAAAATCAATAGTTGCACCATCTCCAGCTCACAAAACCTTTTAAAAAGCAAGAGTAGGAGAGAATAGATTTAAGTGTGTGTGTGTGTGTGTGTTACTGTGTGTGTGTGTGTGTGTGTGTGTGTGTGTGTTACTGAGCTTTTTCCACCCATGGCTGGGACTGTCCCACTCAAAACACACCTCCACTTTTTGAGTTTTGTTGGTTATTTGGACAGCAGAGTCTCACAGCTCTGTCTGTAAGGCTGGTTTGACTATGATCCTCAGATCACAGCTTCCTAAGAAGTTAGGTCTGTAGTACCTGAGTATAGCTAAGAATCTTAACACTTTAAAAGTTAAGCATTTATTTTTCTGCCTGTCAATCAAACCTAGTCTTTTTAATCCATATCCTGAATTTTCAATTCTTGCAATAGCATTTAACAAAGACACACACACACACATACACACACACACACAAACACACATACACAAACTCATCAAATAATTGGCAGGGGGTGGGGGGGGTTGGTCTCAATCACCTACCTTTAAACTAGATTCATAGTCTGTGTTTACTTTGAACATAAGCCCAAGCCGTAAATGAATTTCCTTGGCTCGACAAAAGCTGGGGTCAACATAAAGTACTTCTTGAAATGCTTTAATTGCCCTGAGAAAAAGTAGACAAAAGAAACTTAAGTTTTTAAAGTATATATTTTACTTAATAGTATTAAAAAAACATTCTGGCTGCTCAATTTTAATACAGCACTATTTTAGTACATATTTGTTTTTTTTGGTTTTGGTTTTTGTCAGTCATGGGGAGTGAACTCTGGGCCTGGGCACTGTGCCTCAGCTCTTCAGCTCAAGGCTAGCGCTCTACCACTTGAGCCACAGCGCCACTTCCAACTTTTTCTGCTTATGTGGTGCTGAGAAACCCAGGGCCTCATGCATGTGAGGCAAACACTCTACCATTGAGCCACCTTCCCAGTCCTTTAATACATATTTGAGTTGTTTAAAAAAGTTTAGAAAACAAGAAAGATGCTCAGAATTTTTTTCAATTTATTGTATTATTTGGCAAAAAAGAACATTCTAATAAAATTTTAAAAATAATTTCTGACTATAGAGGGCTATAAGAAAGTTCTGGCTGGGAGAGGGGGTGGTAGTTCACACCTGTAATCCTTGCTATTCAAGAGGCTTAGATCTGAGGATCAAAATTCAAAGCCAACCTCAGCAGTAAAGTCCATGAGACTCTTGTCTCCAATTAACCAGAACCACTGTGGCTCAAAGTGGTAGAGTTCCAGCCTTGAGCAAAAAGAGCTCAGGGACAGTGCTCAGATCCTGCGTTCAAACCCTACAACCAACAATAAATAAACAAAGAAAGTCCTGTTCTCCCTTCTTCCCTTCCCCCCTTCCTCTCTTCCTTGCTTCCTTCCCTCCTTCCCTTCCTCCCTCCCTCCTGCCCTGCCTGCCTGCCTGCCTGCCTGCCTGCCTTACAGAGTCCTGTGCTTTCCCTTGGCTTTTTCTGCTCCAGGATCACACTCCACCTCTTGAGCCATCTCTACTTGTTTTTGTTTTTCATCTTGCTAATCAGAAATAAGAATGTCATTGATTTTTCTGCCCTGGCTAGCTTCCTCCCACAATCTTCAGAGCTCAGTTTCCTGAGATGCTAGTAGGCCTGGGCCAGCCAGAAAGTTCTTGAAAAGCAATTTTAACTATGTGAAAATGGACCAACAAAAGGTATCCTTAACTATTCTTAAACTACAGAATCTGTGAGCAATCTTAGATTTTATCTAATTGAGTTTTAGTTGTGCAAATTTTCATGTTCAGAAAACAAATTATATACAAATACAAAATGGCCAAGAGACAATTATTTAGTATAATTTAGTTTTTTGTAATTTATCTATTTTATAAAGTTTATAAACTTTTTATAAACTTTAATTTTGCCTTGCATATTTAGTTTACAATCCACTGACAAATGATTCTAAGTAACAATGATATAGTAGAAGGATGATTTTTATTTTTCTATAAAAGTTTCCTCTAGAGTATTTTAATTTGTAGTAAATAACAATGTTACTTCCACCAAAAAAAAAAATAAGACACTTATTTTTGCATAGATTAAGCTTATTTTCATGTGGAACTATTTTGGGGACTTCTAATCCTTATTAATCCAATAATCTGTCATAGTTGTTTTATCTTTATAAAATGTCTTGATTACAAATGAAGTAATAGAACCTATTTTCTTCTGGACATTTTTTGAATCTTTTTTATTACTTCAATTATATGAATTATTACACTTCCTCCATAAAAAGAAAAAAGAATATTACTGGAAACAAAGCAAATCTGTTTTCCTGCATTACTTTATTTCCCCAAATACCTGAAAGAAAAAGATATAGAACCTTAATGTTACAAAATAAATACCAATATTCTAATCAGTTAAAAAAAAATGTAGATCCCAATCACAACACCTAATAATATAAAGCAATACTCTTTTTACCTTGATAGTTCTTATACTTACAAAAATCTGTGATTAGGCTGGGCTCACACCTGTAATCCTAGATACTGAGAAGGATGAGCCAGACTGGGCAGGAAAGTCCAAGAAACTCAGATGTCCAATTAATTACCAGAAAACCAGAAGTGGAGCTGTTGCTCAAAGTTGTAGAGTGCTAGCCTTGAGCAAAAGAGCTCTGGAACAACACCTAAGCCCTGAGTTCAAGCTCCACAACCAATCCCAACAATAACAAAAAAGTGAGTAAGCCAGGAGCTGGTGATTCATAACTGTCATCCTAGCTACTCAAAAAGCTTGAGATGTGAGGACTACAGTTGGCAGTCAGCCTGCCCAAGAAAGTTTGTAAGACTCTTATCTTGAATTAAATACTAAATAAAAGCTGGAAGTGTAGCTGTGGCTCAAGTAACAGAGCACTAACCTCAAGAAGCAAAGGTCAAGGGCTCAGTCAACGTCCAAAATAGCCACACACACATACACATAAAAATCTATGATTAAGTATATTTTTATTACAACAATATGTATTTTAAAAGAAAATCACATGGAAAATACTTTTAAATCTTTTAGTGACATATCAAAAGGTACAACCATCTTTCACAACTCATAAAACCTAATCATGAATAACTGAATCTGAGCTGGCTCTTTTTTGTTATAATTTCTTTTTTTACCTTCAATCCAAGGAAAATATACTATGTAAAAATGGACCAACTAAAGGTATCCTTAACTATTCTCAAACTATACAATCTGTGACCAATCTTAGATTTTATCTAATTAAGTTCAGAGCTGTTTTTCATTTTCAAAAAACAAAATAAAAAACTGACTAAAAGTAGAACAAATAATGTAGTACAATTTATGTAATTTTAGGCCTATCATAAACTTTGTAACCTTTTGTGCTCTTCCCAATAATTTAAATGATTAGAGAGATCTCATGCCAGGCACTCTCTCTATTCACAAGGTTGAAATCTAAGGATTAAGATTCAGAGTTCCCAGGCACATAAATTCCTAAGGCTTTTATCTTCAGATAACCAAAACCTAGAAATGGCGACATAACTCAAGGAATAGAGTGTCATTCAGGAATGAAAAAGCCAAGTGTGAGCTAGAGGCCCTGAATCTAAATTCTAGCACACACATACACACACTCATACATACACACACACACAGAGGCACACATCTTTAAAGTATTACATTAAAGCTGGGTGCCACTGAATCATTCCTATAATCTAAGCTACTCAGGAGGATAAGAAAAGAGGATCAGAATTCCAAGTCAGCTCAGATAAGGAAGTCCAAGAAACTCTTATCTCCAATAAACTACCAAAAAGCTGGAAGTGAGGCTGTGACTCAAAGTAGTAGAATGCTAGTCTTGACCCTAAAATTCTCCGATAATACCTCGGCTCTGAATTCAAGCCCCACAAAACAAAATATTTACTACGCAGATGACTCAATTTCACTAAATAAATCATTAAATAACAATAAGTAAAACTAACAAATCTATTTTTCTCCATCATCAAAATTAAGGGATTAAGGTAAGACCTCCTCTCTTTCAAAAAGTTAAAACTTGTGAATACTCTGAGTAGAATTTCAAGAAATTAACAGAAATTTCAAACTGGCCCCAATTATTGGTTTTAAATATTTAAATTGGTTTCAATGTAAAATTACATAAAGCAGCTGGATGCCAATGGCTCATACCTATACTATAGCTATTCAGAAAACTGAGATAAGAAGATCCTGGTTGTGACTAGGAAAAGTACACCAAAAACCTGCAAGTGAAGCTGTGACTAAAGTGGCAGAGAACTAGCCTTAAGCAAAAAAGTCTAAGGGACAGGAACCAGCACATAGACTCTCAGTTTCAGCAACCAGAACATACACACACACACACACATCATGCACATACACTCTCTCTCACATAATACTTAAAGCAATAAAAAAAATTATAAGGATCTATAATTTATATGTTCTCTCACAAATAATTTGGTACTTCCAGGTTAAGCAGTCACAAGTAGAGGAGGAAAAAAATTAGTAGGCAAAGGTACACAAGTTTAAGATAAATATTTACGTTTGGATAGTCATATTAAATGCTTATTAATTCCTATTTTAAAACTATGCTATAAATATTAGGATAAATCAGGTGCTGAAACCTCATGCTTATATATTAGCTACTTAGGAGGCTGAGATCTTAGGATACAGGTTCAAAGTAAACCTGGGCAGAAAAGTCCATGAGATGCTTATCTTAACTAAACAGAAAAAAAACTGGAAGTGGAGATGCGACTCAAGTGGTAGAGCACTAGTCTAGAACAAAAAGTCAAGAGCTGGAGGACCCCAGCAGTGAAATTTAATTAACTAACTAGCTAATTAATTAATAATCTGGATAACCTAAATCTTGGCCATATGCATCCCTGTTCATCTTCCTTTATAATTATAAAACATTCAAATGAGAGCAGGAAATAGTCAAAATTTTTCCATTCCTTTCAACATTTTGTATATTATGATCATATCTGATTCTCAATCGTGAATGGTAACTAAGGGAAGTTTATAATTGGTTCACTAGTTACATACTATTTGTAGGAAGAGTAAACTATGTTACAAATTATTGTCTGCTATGGTTAAGACATGATTGGTCCCTGCAAAGGCTAACATATAAAGACTTGATTACCAACTAATCAACTTGGGGGAAGTCACGGGGGTCATTACTCCAAATAATAGTGTTAATAGATGATTGCCTAAAATTTCTAAAACCATGAGCAAAAATTATATTTTTCCTATTTTAGTTTCTCTCTAGTGTTTATCACAGCAACAAAAACTAATACATAGCCAGGCACTGGTAGTTCATCCCTATAATCCTAACTAATCAAAAGACTAAGATCTGAGGATTGAGGTTCAAAGCCAGCTCAGGCAGGGAAAATCATCTCCAATTAAATACCAGAAAGCTGGAAGTGAAGCTGTGGTAAAGCACTAGCTCTGAGCAAAAAATTCAGGACCAGAACCTGGGCCATGAATTCAAATCCCACCACCAATAGCAAAAACAGAAACATAACACATATACTGGCCAAAATTACAAGTATATACAGATGAAGGGAATGGGTAATTAAGCTTTTTTTAGAAGCCCAGAAAGGTTAAAATGAAACTACTGAAAACATATTTAATGAACATTAATATTTTGTGTTTATTAAACACAACTTACTAGAAAAATATAAAATAAGACTTACCAATGAAATGCATTGTAGTAGAAGTACACCAAACCAAGACCATATAAAAAGGCAGCATTCTGTAAGGGAAAGAAACTTTTAACAAAAGTTCTTATATCTATAACATGCATTAGCAATAAAATACAAGACATTATATATATTCTTAATATTTTACAATGAGTATAATTTGAAGGAAGAATGAATCAACAGCTAATAGAGAAGCCTAAAAACCTAGAGAAATATTCTGACTTCTTTTTCATTAGACTGAAGAAAAAAATAATAATAATTAAAAAATTAAAAAAACAAGCAAGTGTATTTACAGAAGAATACTCCAAAGAGAATATAAAAGAAACATTCAGGAAAAAAGTAATTTTTTTTTCAGTTTGTAGTCTTTCTGTAGTTCTTTTAAAACTGTAAATTGTAATCAAATTTGTGCTCAATGTTATTTTTTAAAAAAAGAATTGCAGAACATTACAATATATTTTAAAATTAAATGCAAAACTCAACTCCCAAAAGTTACTTGGATATGAAAATTTCAGTTAAACCTATATTTTTAAAATACTAGAGTTGCTCAAAATTACTAAATTACTGTTTTTTTTTTATTGCCTCAGCATCCATTTTAAATACAAGTTGAACTTTCTCATACCAGAAGAACTTGACTACCATTAACAGTTTCTAGTTTTCTATTTTCCAGTTCTTCAGTCAATCTGCCTTAAATATCCTCCAATAATCACTGCCTTGAAATTTTTACATACAATCTACTTGATCTGTTGAACTGTCTATCACACAAACTGGAGAGAAACTTTAGTAACTTATTCAGACCAAAAACACAAAAGCACTGGTCAGTATAAACGAGTTTACAGTGAAAAAGACATCTAGTCAAGAGCTGAATACATGGGCATTATTACTATGCTATCTGCCAGAGTAAAGAAATATTCCACAAGAATTACCACAAAAATCATCACAACTTCCTTTCTTGGACTAATCCTTATCCAAATAGCTAAAATCCATAGCCTCTAATCAGAGAGACACCTAAAGATCAACTTAGAGGAAAATATCAAGATTCCAAGCAAGAACAAGTCATTCATAGCTATTATTTACACTAGGAACTGATGGCTCAACCCTGTAAAACTACCTACTCAAGTAGCTGAAATCTAATGGTCTAGATGCAAAGCCAACCTGGGCTCTGAGTTCAAACAGCAGTATTGGTATAATGAGTGAGTAAATGAATGAATCAATATTCTATTATAAATATTGTATTATAAAATAATATTCTATTCTTTTATATTATAAAAACTACATTCTATGCCATGTATCACTGACTCAGACTCCTAGTTACTTAGGAGGCTAAGAAATGAGAATTGCAATTCAGAGCTAATGTGGGCAGAAAAACACAATTCCATTTCTTAATTAACAACAGAAAAGCTGCATTGGAGGTAAAACTCAAATGGTAGAGCACCAGCCATGAGAAAAAGGTGAGTAAGAGTGAAAATTTCTGTTTTCAAGCCCTGATAACAGCACAAACAAATATATATACATACATATACACATACATACAAACACATGATTTTAAGCTTTTATAATTTTTTTGTTTTGTTTTTGTGATCTTGGCCTTGATAGACAGGTACTCTACCATGCAAGCTATTCCCTTTCACTGGTTTTTGCCCAGACTGACCTGGGAACTGCAATTCTCTCAATCTGTGACTCTAAATTAGCTAGAATTATTGATGCAAACTGTATTTGTTCAACTGATTCACTGAAAAGGTATCAAGACAAGAATAATAAATAATGCTGGAACAAAAAAAACCCCACATGGCAAATAAAGTCTGGTTCAACTGCACAACATAAACCAAAGTTAACTAAAAAATCCATGACATGAGAGCTGGGCACCGATGGTTCACACCTGTAATCCTAGCTACTCAGGAGGCTGAGATCCTCAGATCTCGGTTCAAAGCCAGCCTAGGCTGGAAAGTCTGTGAGACTCTTATCTCTAATAAACCACCAGAAAACCGTAACTGGTGCTGTGGCTCATTTCATGGTAGAACACTTTCTTTGAGTTGAAGAGCTGAGGGACAGCACCAAGGCCCAGAGTTCAAGCCCCAGAATGGACAAAAATAAGCAAATCTTTTAAATGATATCAAGAATAAAGACAAAATGGCAAATTCTTTCACTTTCACCCTGTGAGTGTAAGTTCCAGAATACAATGTTGAGCAGAGTTCCACAAAGAAGTATTGTTTGCAGATGTTTGGTAGAGGTGGCTGTTCCAAGTGCCTGTCAGGTAATACCTGGCAGAGATGGGTTACACAAGCTAGAAACAGCCTTTGGAGGAATGAGGCAGATTGTTGGCTACTTTGGTTGTTCTTTATTTTTCTTTTTGTCCGTTGTGGGGCTTTAACTCTGGGCCTGGGCGCTGTCCCTCACTTTTCAGCTCAAGGAAAGCGCTCTATCATTTGAGGCACAGTGTCACTTCTGGTTTTCTGAGTAATTTATTAGAGATAAGAGTCTCACAGATTTTCCTGCTCGAGCTGGCTTTGAACCATGATCCTCAGATCTCAGCCTCCTGAGTAACTAGGATTACAGGCCTGAGCCACCAGCACCTAGCACTTTGGTTGTTCTTAAAAGAAATGAGTCTCGAAAAACCCATCAGAGACTCCATTAAAAGAGCTGGAGGTCAATGCCCATGGTTCACACCTATAATCTAAGCTACTTAGGAAGCCAATGAGGGTCAAGGTTCCAAGCCAGCTTAACAGTTAATGCTCTTTATCTCCAATTAATCACCAAAAAGCCATAAGAGGAGCTATGCATAGCTCAAGTGATACAGTGCTAGACTTGGGTAAAAAAGCTCAGGGGCAGTGCCTAGGCCTAGAACCTGTTTTCAAGCACTAGAACCAACACAAAAACACACAAAACAGCTGGGAGGATGAATGTTGGAGCCTAGGTTGAGACTTGAAGCTGTTAGGGGCCCTGCCTTTGCAACAAAGGCCTAGCCTGAACAAATCTTTGGGCCTGACTTTGCTAAATACTCAGTTCATTAGAACTTCCTCTAGGCTCTGTGTTTGACTTCTAGCTGAGGCTTTTTCATGACAAAGACATACAGATGTATAAAGACACAGAGGCAATTTAAAGTTAATACTAAATATATATATATATTGCACTTGTTAATTACATTTTTGTTACATACATCCTTTTTCTGAGCACTTTCAGACATCCTGTGAGACACTCCTTGAATTTTAGTTAAATCCTGTTAATTAAGCTTCATCCTTTTATAGATTGTGAACCTGAGTGGGGCCTGATGGGCTGGAGGTAAAAAGGGAACAAGCAGCCTGTCTACTCAGAAGATTTTTGGCTGATGTCACATCCTGAAGAAGCAAACTTTGCCTAACCAAGTTTTAAAAAGAAATCTATATCTAGATCTATAGATATAGATCTATAGTTTTAGATATAGATATACTATAAATCTATAGTATATCTATATATAGATATACTATAAACCTATAGATCTATAGATAGATAGATAATGTTGTCTTTGTTGCTATTTAGTTTTGTTGTTGGTTTTGTTTGTTTTTACTTACCAGAACTTGGAGTTAAACTCAGAGCTTGGCCTGCTTGTTTCTGGCTCATACCTTACCTCTTGATCCATGTTTCCAGGCTGGCATATTGCTGATTAATTGGAGATAGAATCTTAGACTTTACTATCAGTCAAGTTTTTAACTACTAATCCTGCTGAGTAGCTAGGATTGAAGATAGGAGAAGACAGGATTGAAGATGGCTTATTTAGATTTTTTTGTCTATATACTTTTTTATTATCTGATATAGGTAATTTTGTACAATTCATCATGACTAAAGTAATAGATATTTAATAGAAATATAGCAAAAAAAAATTTCCCCATCCTTACTAAAAGAGGGTCATCAAAGGTAAAATCAGAAAATAAACATAATTCAACATAGCCAAAACACTAAATACTAAATAAAAGAATATTATAAGTTGCAAAGGAGAAGCAATAAGCTACTTTAATGGCAACCATTGAAACAAGAAAGGCATGAAAAAATAATCAAAGCTCTGAAGATAATAATTATCAAACTAAGCTAGAATACCCAAAAAATCTATTCTTCATGATTGAAGGAAAAGTAAAATTTACATAATAAATGAGAGCTAAAAACTTAAAACAACAAAATACAGCATTGCATGCAATGCTTAAAGGCCTCTGATGCAGAAAAGAGAAAAATAAAAACAGGTCTGCTTTCAAGTCAAAGTTTCATATACTGAAGACCAGCTTTTTGCTACAAATCTATTGATAGTCCACTTTTAACAAGTTTTGCCCAATTGTGAGAAATAGGGGTAATAGCATGGCCTCAAGGGTTCAAATGGACTAGCACTTCTTGGCCCAGGACTGGAGGAAATAAAAGATCAATAGCTTTTTCTATATACCAATAATGAACAGGCCAAGAAAGAAATCAGAAGAGCTGGGAACTGTGGCTTATGCCAGTAATTCCTAGCAACTTAGGAGATCTGAAAATGGCAGTTCAAAGCCAACCTGGGCAAGAAAATCTTTGAGACTCTTATCTCCAGTAAACTACTCAGAAAAAGCCACAGTGGCACTGTGGTTCAAATGGGAGAATGCTACCTTGAATACAAATAGGCTCATGAACCCAGGCCTTGAGTTCAAGCCCCAGGAACTAGGCAGGAGGTTCAGGGACGGGAAGAGGGCCTGCCTCCAGGAATGGGTTACAATGGAACAGGAAAAATACCAATTAAAAAAAAAAACTCTATCATTTTAATGAAAAATGTCAAGACTCCTATAATGACAACTATACAACTTTCAAGACATTAAGGCCACCAGAACATCTTACATAGTCAAAAATTAGAAAAATATTGTAAAAATGGCCATGCTAATGAAAGCAGTCTACAGATTCAATGAAATAGCCACCAAAATCCCAAAGCCAGGCTGGAAATGTGGCTTAATGGTAGAATGCTTGCCTAGTATACATGAAGACCTGGGCTCAATTCATCAGTACTACATAAATAGAAAAAGCCGGAAGTGGTGCTGTGGCACAAGTGGTACAGTGCTAGCCTTGAGCA